GTTGGGGCCGCTCATCCTTGCTGAGTTGGGATTTGACATGCCGACCACCACACCAATTCAAGGACGGGGGCATCCACCGTTGAATGCGGGACAAGTGTCGGTCCCGTGGTTGGTAACTCACATCCAGAATGAGGTGGAAATCAATGACAAGACTCCGGAAGATCAAGTGGAGCGCTATGCACGCATCTACCTCATTGGTCTGGTGGGTGGATTTTTGTTCCCCGACAAGTCAAACCGGTGGATTCAAGGCATATGGTCGTCATTGCTCACTAGTGACTGGGACGCAATTGTGGAAAAGAGTTGGGGATCAGCCGTGTTAGCTGGCATAATACCGGGTGTTGTGCACCTGCTCGAAGGTGGGAGCAAAACAAGCTGGTGCTGCGATGTTTATCCTACAGCTGTGGGTATGGGAGCATCTTCCAATCTTCGCACCTCTAGACCCACGTCGATACCGGAGAGCCGATGATGAGCTAAACTTTCTGCAAAATCCCCCTTACGGTGTCAAGTAAGTTTATTCCGTACTTAGCCTAATTTAAAATTATTCCATGATTAGCTAGATTTCAATTGAATTTATTCTGTACTTAGCTTAATTTAAAATTATACTCCGACTATCATGTATTCAACCTTCTTACCATATTGGTATGTTCATAAAAACATGAATCATGGTACGCCTTCTTACCATATGGTATTAAATAGGAGCATACCATATGGTAATGACTGGTAAAAAATGACTCATTTTAAAAAGCACATTTAATCTTATTTATCTGTGCAAAAAAATTAAATTTCAACTTAAAACGAAAGAGAAATCGTACGTTAAAGATTAAATGAAAAAATATAAAATACTTTCTAGGAGAGAGAATGATGGTGATGTCATTCTGATGTGTATGGGTTACTCATGATTACTTACCTAAGGTTACTGACCTGATCTGCTCCCCATAAAACGTATTGTAACATCCCGAATTTTGGGTTAGGTTCGACCGAATGATTGGATCGATGGTTACGTACGAAGGGTTGCAACCGCGGTTTATGAATAATAATAATAATAATAATAATAATAACTATATTATTATTATTATTTAAAAAAATACATATAAACCGAGAGGGCACTCGGCCCTCAAGTTTTTCCAAAAACCCTCGACTCCATCCAATTTGCGCCGCCCAAGACCCTCCCTTGCGCGTCTCACCGCCGAAAGCACTTTTCCTTTCCCCTCGCAAGCGGACAAGTCCATCCTTCCATCACATCGTCATCACCAATTTCACCACCACCAGATAATGGATGGTCCAGGTGAGATCGCCTTCTTGTGGGGAAGTAGATAGACCGGGTGATGGCGGCAGGATCTTATGGCCAAGTTACTAAGGTAGTTAATCATGTATGACCAAAACACGCAGCGGCCCCATGGGTTTGGATTTATTTCCTTTGAAACGGAGGATTGGGTCGATCGAGTGTTGCAAAAAACATTTCATGATTTGAACGGGAAGCAAGTAGAAGTGAAGCGGGCTCTTCCTAAAGATGCCAAGGGTGAAGAACATCTCGTCTGCTCGTGCCTGTTTTGATGAGATGCCGTGCAAAAATGTGGTTTCATGGAGACCAGGGCACAACAGCCTTATCTCGAGGTTTTGACTTCAGTATTAAGGTGAGTGTAAAGGGGTAAATTCTACTCCTTACGTATTCTTTTAAGTATTATGTTTTAAGTATTTTAGCGAATTGGTTATCGTTGCTTGGTTATGTGTATGATTGATTATTTGTGTCTTGCTTGAGTTATGGTTTGAGATGATCTTGTGATATTTGAGGTGATTTTGTTTGAGCTATGCTTGAAGTGAATGTTTATAAAGTACTTTGAAATTTTTACGAGTATGAGTTATTATTAAAGAGTAAGAAACAAGTTCTTTTAAAGAAGTAACTCACCTTAAAGAAGGTGAAGTCGTTTTAAGTGTTTTTAGTCACTAGTGCCAGTCCGTTGCCTTTTGAGACAGTTTGAGATAGAGCAGCAGTTATGCTCTTGAGACTTTTAAGATGGGCAGCAGTTATGCCCTTGAGAATCGTGGTGAAGAGCCACCACGATAAGTTTAAGATGTTAGGGGATGAATCGTTACGACTTCCATAACTAAGTTTAAGTTTAAGGAAAGCCTGAATGGCTTCTCATACGTATGAGTTGACAACCGGACTAGCTAGTGAGGGATCCCCATGTCAGTCAAGTATTTAAGTCAAGATTTGAGTTTTAAGAGAGGAGAGTAACTCCAACTCCCTCAAAGTTTAAGAGTTAAGATTTTAAGATTGGAAGTACAACCAACTTCCACTAGCTAAAGTTAAGTTTTTAAGTAAAGTACTCAAGTAGTAGAAGTATTAAAACGTAAGGGCGTAGACTGACCCCATCTCACTCACCAGTTTGAGGAGCTAGAGGAGCTAAAGGAGCAGTTAGTGAGCAGCGAGTTCGAGGGCCGCCAGCTAGAGGAGAGCAGTATAAGTGTCACGAAGGATGCTTAGTCAGGGTTTTTAGTAGCAGCAACATTAGAGATTATTAGTTATTTACATTTATGATTATGAGTATAGACTGGAGGTCATATTGAGATTTAAAGTTTGAGTTCAATTTTCCCACGTGTTAGGGCTTTGTTTTGAACTACAAGTGTGTGTTTTCAGTATTTTATTTATGAAATTTTTTTTCCCGCTGCAATTTAAGATTTGAGTATTTTATTTATCAAGGGCATTTTGGTAAAAGTAGTACCCGGCCGGGTTAGGGTGTTTCACGTATTGACTCTATTATTTGGACCATGCTCATTCATTTGAATTAGTCAAAGGCCTAGTCACCTAGAAGCAATCCATTAGCTTTGCTGACCAATCATGATGGGACTAGATACTATGACAACACTCCTTGTGTTGTTATTATAACAACACTAGTCTCCAACTAATAGGAAGCTAGGGTTGTAATGACTTTTTATAAGATGGGTTGACCTAGTGTAAAATCAAAGCAGGGGTATAATTGTCATTATGAAAAATATGTTTAAATAATAATAAAAAATAAAATTAGAAAATAAAAAATATTTTTTTTATTTTCGGCCCAAAATTTTGGCCGCCAGAATTCTGCCACTGGTTGCCGGAAAATGGTCGACGGTCACCGGAATATGCTTTTTGTCATCGGAATATGCCACCGTCGCCGGAATATGCTTACCGGCGTCGGAATCTAGTCATCGCGGCCGGAATATGCCTATCGGCGTCGGAATCTGCTCACTGACAGTCACCAGAGTTCGGTCAACGGCCACAGGATGTATGGTCTATATTGTGAGATTTATGGTTTGGTTTCTCATATTTTTGTATTCCTTTTGTGGTTTGCTTTATTGTGTTTGTGGTTTGCATTGAGAAGTTTCTGGTCTGCTTTATCGTGTTTGTGGTTTGCATTAAGAAGTTCCTGGTTTGCTTTCAAAAATTTTGTGGTTTGCATTGAGGGGTTTCTGGTCTGTTATAATATATTTGTGGTCTGGATTAGGACGTTTATGGTTTGCTTTTTTTGTGGTTTGATTTACTGTGTTTGTGGTTTGCATTAAAAGGTTTCTGGTGTGCTTCGCAAATATTGTGGTTTGCTTTGTGAGGTTTGTGGTTTGTTTTGGGAGATTTGTGGTATGCATTCGGAAGTTTCTGGTTTGCATTAAGAAGTTTATGGTGTGCTTTCGAAAATTTTATGGTTTGATTTGTGGGGTTTCTAGTTTGCATTAATAAGTTTATGGTGTGCTTTCAAATATTTTATGGTTTGATTTGTGGGTTTTCTGGTTTGTTTTAATGGTTTTGTGGTCTACACTAGGAGGTTTTTGGTTTGCTTTTTTGTGGTTTGCTTTACGGCGTTTGTGGTTTGCATTATGAGGTTTCTGGTGTGCTTTCGAACAGTCTGTTGTTGCTTTGTGGGATCTCTGGTTTATTTCAGGTAATTTGTTGGACGTATAAGGAGATTTCTGGTATACTTTTTTGGATTGATTTCCCTATTTATGGTCTGCATTAGGAAGTTTCTCGAGTATGCTTTAGATACGTTTTTGGTATGCTTTGTGACGAGGTCTCATATTACTAATAATGCATCTATAATTGGCAAAATGAAATCATAGCAGCTCCAATTGAGTACACTTCTCTTCTCTTACCATAACATGACCTGCTTGTAGCTGAAAGAGCAAGGTATTCAACAAGCACCAGAACCACTGCACCGGACAACTTCGGGCTTTGGCAAACAAACAAAAAGAAGAAGAATCGTTAACAAAACACACTTCTTTCATCATTACCAAACGAGATCAACCCAGTGGAATAGTGTATCTCTCAATTATTCATCGTTTACAATCCATATCTAGTCATAATAACCTCAAATAATAGGAACGCATATATGAAACTAGCAGCTCCAATTGCGTCGAAGTCCTCGCCAACTCGCAACACCGCATCCAGTCTCCCGCAGCCTCCAATTGCGACTCTCTCCCTCCTCCTTCCTCCACCTCCGTCGTCGCTCCCGGTAGATTCAATTAAAAAATCAAACTCATATAATCATGAAACAGTTAATTTGTCGCCTCTCCCGCGTCGCCGACTCCTCCACCTACAACTTCCTTGTCTCCGACTCTTACCACAATCGCCGCCGTCGGAAAAGTGGAATCATTCCTGTCACTGCGAGGAGATCCAGCTCAGATTGAAGCTGTTGGAGAAGAATCGGCACTGTAAGTAATGGAGATCCAGCCCAAATCGAAGCTGTTGGAGAAGAATCGGTCATTCGAGAAAATCGGGCTCTGTGTACTTGAGATTTGCCGGCGCCGGAGTAGGATTTCTCCACAGAAGGAGAGTTGGAATTTGGGATTAGATGGCAATCGGAGGAAGACACCAGCGATGGAGAATAGTGCGGAGGGGAAAGCACGTTTGTTATTCTAATTTTTATTGTAAATTTCTAATTTTGCCCTTGATGTATCCTATTTTTATTATAACAACAAAAAGAGTGTTGTTATACTATCCTATCCCAATCATGATCGTTGTCAAGTGTCACCAATAGTAGTAGCTTCACCTAAAACTACATCAAAGGTGAATCAGCGAGCAAGCAACAAAGTCGGAGTCATTTTGGTCGCGTGGTAGCCGGTTACAGATAAGAAAACGGAAGTAATTGGCGCGTGGGCGTCACTACTGGACTTCCGCCATTAATCCTTTCGAAACTCCATGGCACCAGTAGCAGCAGCTCCTTCACAAACTTCACTTGCCTTTCTACTTCATCTCTACCTCTTGCTTTCCCCTGCAGCTGTGATCACTTTCCACAAACCCAAAGTCGACCCAACCGACGCCTCCATACTCTGCAACGGCGGCGCCAACGCAAGCTCCGACACCATCAAATTGACTAATGCCCACTACGGGATCGAAGTCAGCCGCGTCTTTTACGCCGACGACATCCCGCTCTGGAGTTCGGCCACCGGGAAACTCTCTGATTTCACCACCCGCTACTCGTTCTCCATCGACCCCGGGAGCGGCTACCCATCCGGCGTCGCCTTCTTCCTCGCGCCTTAGGGTTCCAGGCGCCTGAAAATTCCGCCGGTGGGTATATGGGTCTCTACATATTAGAGGACAGCCGGCCCATTATCACATCGGCTCGCTCCCAGTCGTCCTCAGCCCATCTCACCACGTCGCCAGCACCCAATAGTTGTGCTTTAGCACATCATGTAACCCTAGCTGCTAGGAAAGAAGGGTTTATATGTTCATGTACGGCCATTGGCCAAATTATCAATCAATAACAGAAGCCAAAACCGGAGAGGGTTCCTCTCCAGTGGACTAGTCCCGTACCTACGGGGATACCACGTAAACCAATCTTGTCATTACGTTTCCGCACTAAATCTCGTTTTTTCTCATGGTATCAAAGCTGTGAAGCTCGATTTCAGGTTACAATCATGGCTGGTGACGGCTCTTTCATATTCACCGGCGCCACAACACCCAAATCCGCCACCGGCGGAGCTGGAGGTTCGAGTAGCTCTAGCCTCGACGTTTTCAGCCCTCTTTTCATTCATCAATCGGATAGCACCGGCCATCTCCATGTCAGCAGTCCCCTGACTCCCACAAACTACAGCGAATGGGCTTTGGAGATGATCGACGCCCTTGTCACCAAGCACAAGCTTGGTTTTGTTGATGGTAGGACTCCCCGCCCCGTGTCTGCGTCCCTTGACCTGCCCCAATGGCTTCGTTGTGATGCACTTGTCAAGGGGTGGCTCCGTACCGCCATGGACACTGAGATTCGTAGCAGTGTCATGCACGCCAAAATGGCGCAAGAAATTTGGGAGGACCTCCGTGATCGGTTCAGCAAGGGCAATCTTACCCGTGCCTATGAGCTGCGCCGCAATGTCAGCCTCCTCCAGCAAGAAAAGCAGACGGTCTCCAGCTTCTACACCAGTCTGCGAAAAATTTGGGAAGAAACCCAGGCCATACTCCCGCCGCCCTTGTGCTCTTGCGGTCGACGAGGTAAGAATCAAAATGAGAGCCGCCGCTTGCTCGATTTCCTCCTGGGCCTGGACGATTCTTTTGCCACTATCAGAAGTCAAATTTTGTCGATAACACCTGTCCCCTCTCTCCCCGAAGCTTTCCGGATTGTTCACAATGATGAGCAGCAGCGCACTTTGACGCAAAATCGGAAAACTACTCCCGAAGCAGCTGCTTTTTCCACAAGGGCGGAGGCTGATCGCTCCACCACAGCGCCGCGTGGTGATCATCGCGGAGACCAACGTGGTGACTCGCGAGGTGATCGTCGCGGCAATCGCGACTCGTCCACAACTGCCCGTGATCGGTCACATGGAGATTGTGAGCGCGTCTTCTGTACCAACTGCCAAAAGGGTGGCCACTTGCGGGAGACTTGCTACGAACTCGTGGGCTGGTCTCCGCATGACAAATCCGACGATCGGGGGGATCCAGGATCTCGTCACCGTGATCGCGACCGCGATAGCAGCAGACCTTGCGATCCGCGCGCTTCTCAGGCCGAGTCGGCTCCTAGTCCATTCGCCGGCTTCACTGTTCAGCAGCTCGAGCAGTTGAAGCAATTCTTTGGCAGCTCCTTCGCCGGGTCTCCTGACCCGGTTAGTAACATGGCTGGTATCTTTTCTTCCTCTGTTGATTCTGAATGGCTAATTGACTCAGGCTGCAATGAACATATCGCCATGAGTGAGTCTCTTTTAGTTCTTATGCTCCTGGTATCCACAGTCAGCCGGTTCGTATCCCGAATGGTTCTAGTATTCCGGTTAAACGTATTGGCTCTGTGAAGTTTGATACGGGTCTCAGCTTGGATCGTGTTCTGCATGTGCCTGAGTTTCGTTGCAACTTGTTATCTGTCAGTCGTTTATGTCAAGAACATCGTGTCGCATTAATCTTTATGAGTGATTTCTGCGTTATACAGGACTTAGTCTCGAAGAACGTGATTGGGAAGGGGGAGGACCGTGAAGGTCTCTATTATCTTTGCTTGTTTGGATGTCAACAGGTTCGAGCTCATGCGGCAGTTAATCCTAGCGCCTTGCCCGAGTGTCTCGTTCATGCTCGGCTTGGTCATCCGTCCTTGCAGAAGATGGAGTTGCTTCGCCATGTTGTTCCCTTTTCCAGTCCCCTCAAACTGTTTGTCATTCCTGCTCTCGTGCTAAGCAAGTTCGGACTCCTTTTCCCGTTAGCTCCATTCGCACGACTTCTTGTTTTGAATTATTGCATATGGATATTTGGGGTGGTTACCATACTGCTTCTTTGAGTGGAGCACACTATTTCTTGACCATTGTTGATGATTACAGTCGTGGAGTTTGGGTTTATCTCCTTCGTTTTAAATCTGAAGTTAGTCGATATTTTCAGCAGTTCTGTCAGTTTGCCTCTACACAGTTTGGTCGGCAGGTTAAACGCATACAAGCGGACAATGGACTTGAGTTCCAATGTCATGATCTTCGCCGTTATTATGAGCAACATGGCATCGTCCTTCATACATCCTGCACTGATACACCTCAGCAGAATGGCATCGTTGAACGGAAGCAGCGCCACCTGCTTGAGGTTGCCCGTGCTCTACGTTTTCAGGCATCTTTGCCTATTCGGCACTGGGGAGAATGCATCTTGACTGCCGCATACTTAATAAATCTCTTGCCCACTGTTGCTACTAGCAAGACACCTTTTGAGGTTCTATTCGGCAAACCGGCTTCGTACTCTCATCTACGGGTCTTTGGTTGCCTTGTCTATTGCAAAGACACCCACTCTGGTTTGGACAAGTTTCAGGAACAGGGGAGAGCTTGTGTGTTTTTGGGATATGCCGCTTCACAAAAGGGTTATCGGGCTTATGATCTCACTTCCCGCAAAATGATCACTAGCCGCGACGTCTTCTTTCATGAGACGGTTTTCCCCTTTTGTCCTACTGTTTCTACTTTCTAATGATTTAACCTGGGTCTCTCCGCAGGTATTCACTCGGCCTGCCTTTGAGGATGCAGACGAGTTAGTTGCTCCCCCTGTCTCTGGGCCTCAGTCTTCCCCGTCCATCCAGGCCCGCCCATCGGCCCTTGCTCTGCCCGCTTCTCCTCCCGACCGGTCCGACTCGGCCTCGTCCCCTGCTAGCTCGGGCTCTTCGGCCCACGCCCGACCCATCCTCTGCTCGGCCCGCTCCCTCGTCCCCTCTAGAGTCCCCAGCCCAAATTACCTCGGCTGGCCCCATCCTCACCCGGCGGCCCACCCCAGCAAGCTGCCCAGGCTGCCCCAGCCCCCCGACGCAGTGACAGTCCCCATATCAAGCCTCGTCACTTGCACATATATTACACTGGCAGTGATGCCAATAATGTCCGGTATCCAATTTCTTCGCATATTGCATATGACCGTGTTACCCCTGCTTACCGTGCTTTTGTTGCAGCTGTTGCTTTGTCCAGAGAACCCCGCACCTTTAAGTAGGTCATGCTTGATGAGCGATGGCGTCAAGCCATGTGCGTCGAGATTACAGCTCTCGAGAAGAATGGTACGTGGAGTCTTGTTCTCTTACCTCCCGGCAAACGTGCCATCGACTGTAAGTGGGTTTACAAGATCAAGTTTAACCTGGATGGCACAATTGAGCGCTACAAAGCGCGCCTTGTCGCCAAAGGCTACACTCAAATCAAAGGCGTCGATTTTCACGATACTTTTGCTCCCGTTGCCAAGTTAGTCACTGTGAGTTGTTTGCTTGCTGTTGCTGTTAGCAAAGTGTGGTTCATCCACCAGCTGGACGTTAATAATGCCTTCCTCCATGGAGATCTGGATGAGGAGGTTTACATGAGGATTCCGCCCTGCTTTGCTGCCCCGGGGGAGACTCGTGTCTGTCGCCTTCACAAGTCTTTGTATGGTCTTCTTCAAGCCTCACGAAATTGGTACCACAAGTTCACTGCTGCCCTCTGTGAACTTAAGTTTTGGCCCTCTCCCGCCGACCATTCTCTCTTCATCTACCATCAGGGAAGTACCTTTGTTGTTGCCCTCATTTATGTCGATGATGTTCTTCTTGATAGCAACGATCTCTCCTTTATTACACAGGTTAAAACCTTTCTTAATGACCGGTTCAGCATCAAGGATCTCGGCAGTTTGCGCTACTTCTTGGGTATCGAAGCAGCTCGTTCTCCACATGGCATCATCCTCAGTCAACGCAAATATGTTTTAGACATATTGTCTGACGCCGGTGTTGCAGGTTGTCGGCCTAGTACCTTTCCCATCGAGCAAAATCATCATCTTACCCGGACGGACGATACTACTCTTCTTGAGGATCCTTCCGCCTATCGACGCCTTGTTGGGCGTCTTCTGTACCTGACGCTGACCCGCCCCGATATCTCCTACGGGGTCAACATTCTCAGTCAAGCCATTCATGCCCCTACCCATGCTCACATGGCTGCGGCACATCGGATTCTTCGGTATTTAAAAATTGCTCCAGGTCAGGGTCTCTTTTTCCCTTCTGATGGGAATCTCCGGCTTACAGCATATTGTGATGCCGATTGGGGTGGTTGTGAGTCCACTCGTCGTTCGACCACTGGTTATTTCATTACTCTGGGTGGTGCTCCCATATCTTGGCGCACGAAGAAACAGCAGGTGGTTGCCCGTTCTTCTGCCAAGGCCGAGTACCGCGCCATGGCTAGTACGGTTAGTGAGCTCGTTTGGCTCCATTGGTTACTCTGTGAGCTTGGTGTTCCCCAGTCTGGCCCTACTCCGTTGTACTACGACAACCAGGTCGCTTCACATATCGCTGCTAACCCAGTCTTTTACGAGCGCACGAAGCATGTTGAGATGGATTGGTACTTTGTTCGGGAACGCGTTGAGTCCCAAGACATCACTCCTCTCAAAGTCTCTTCCCAGTTGCAGCTGGCCGACATTTTCACTAAAGGTCTTGGTGCTGACCGCTTTCATTTCCTACTGTCCAAGCTGGGCGTTCGTAACCTTCACGCTCCAGCTTGCGGGAGAGTATTAGAGGACAGCCTGCCCATTATCACATCGGCCCGCTCCCAGTCGTCCTCGGCCCATCTCACCACGTCGCCAGCACCCAATAGTTGTGCTTTAGCACATCATGTAACCCTAGCTGCTAGGAAAGAAGGGTTTATATGTTCATGTACGGCCATTGGCCAAATTATCAATCAATAACAGAAGCCAAAACTGGAGAGGGTTCCTCTCCCGTGGACTATTCCGCACTAAATCTCATTTTTCTCACTACAACTACACCAACAGGGTCCATCCTCGGGCCCGGAAACAGGTCGTTCAGGTCGAATTCGATTACTTCGTGAACCCTTCTTGGGATCTGCCGTTCCGGCACGTCGGAATAAATATCAATTCGCTCGCTTCCAAGGTCGTCGCACCTTGGAATTCCGGTTCGCGGCCTAGCGGTTCCGTCATGGTTGATATCAAATTTACGGCCAGTACCCACAATTTCACTGTGCTTTGGGAGTATGAGAATGGTCGGAATTTGAGTCTTTGATACGTAATTGATCTCAAGGAGGTTCTTCCGGAGCAGGTGATGGTAGGGTTTTTAGCCACCTCCAATGATTATTCAGGAGAACAGGAGCTTCTGTCATGGGATTTCCATTGCAATTTGGAGATGAGGAATACTGGTCGGGAACGAAATTTCAGGAATACAAAAATGATTGGGATTGTTGCAATAGCAGCCATTGCCATAGCTGCGTGCGGTTTTTTGCAGATGCGTAGAAAGAGGGGAGGAGCTAACAAGGGAATGAATTTGTTGTCCATGACTGATGACAGGGGCGGATACATGGGCCTCTAGGGGTGTCCCGGGACACCCCTAAAATTTGGGGAAACGATTATCCAACCTCCGGTAGTAATTTTGTATAGGTATACAAAATATAATTGGTAATCCGGGACACCCTAATATTTGAAAAAATGATTATCCTACCCTCGATAATAGTTTGCTTATGATTAACAAAATATAAGTCGTAGTCCGTGTTATTCCAACCTAGGACACTACTATTATCAAACATATTCTAATTATGTTGCTACTCATTTGTTATTCTATTTTAAACATCATGCAACAGTAAAACACTATTTCTTTATCCCCAACTATTTTCAATACCTAATAATTAAACTACGTACACGCTATCCTTAATTTTGAATTGATTTTATGGATACACGGCAAGTGTTGAAAGAGTCTTTTCTACTTTGAGCTACATTAAGAACAAGGTTAGAAATCGAATATGTGATAAGTTCGTGAAGTATTGTCTAGTAGGATATGTAGATTTTTTTGAATAGTACAGACACGGAGTTTATTTATATTAATTTTTCAAAATATGAATATGAATTTATTATTTAATAAAAAATTTATACAAATTATACAAGTATGATATTTTAAATATACGAATTATTTAATTTATTATATAATTTAATTTAATTTTTGAAGAGGACACCCCTGTGAAAATTTTCTGAATCCGCCACTGACTGATGAATTCTTGAGAGGCGCTGGCCCGAGGAAGTTCTCTTACACTGATCTCGTCTCAGCTACCAACTTCTTCTCGCTGGATCGGAAACTGGGGGAAGGTGGTTTTGGAGCGGTTTATAGAGGGTGTCTCAGTGATTCAGATATGCCAGTTGCTGTCAAGAGGATCTCCAGGGGTTCTAGACAAGGGATCAAGGAGTACACAACTGAAGTTATGATCATTAGCCGTTTGAGGCATCGAAATCTTGTTCAACTAATAGGCTGGTGCCACGAAAAAGGCGAGCTCTTGCTTGTTTATCAGTTCATGTCAAATGGGAGCCTTGATTGTCACCTCTTTGGAGAGAATAGTTCTCTCCCGTGGCCTGAAAGATACGGTATAGCTCTGGAGTTGGCTTTTTCCTTGCTCTACCTTCATGAAGAATGGGAGCAATGTGTGGTTCATCGTGACATCAAAGCAGCTAATGTCATGCTGGATTCTGGGTTCCATGTCAAGCTTGGGGATTTCGGTTTGGCTCGATTGGTTGACCATGAGCTAGGCCCTCAGACCACAAGGTTAGCTGGAACCATTGGGTACATGTCTCCCAAGTACATCAGTACTGGAAGGGCCGAAGAATCAGATGTCTATAGCTTTGGGGTTGTCTGTTTGGAGATTGCCACTGGAAGGAGGGTTGTTGATTACATTGAAGATGGATTGGAAATGTGTATGGTGGAATGGGTTTGGGAACTGTATGGGAATGGAAACCACAGTGTGGCCATTGACTAAAGGCTTGTGGGCTTCGATGAAAGAGAAGCATAGTGCTTGATCGTTGTGGGATTGTGGTGTGCTCATCCGGATTCCTGTCAGAGGGCGTCGATCAGGCAGGCAATCCAAGTTCTAAACTTTGAATCAACATTTCCACGTCTGTCTGAGATGAGGCCATCCCCAACGTTTGATAGGCAGCAAGTTGTGAAAGTTCTGACGAACCATTGTTATCATATTCGACTACTAATTGTGATAGCATTTGATATGTGCACGCCCGGGTTAATTGTGTATGGCTCGAAGATTCGCTTAGATTCCACTTTGGTTGAGATATCATATGTAGTCTTGCAGTTGTGGTGGAGCGGATAGAATAACAACAAAATTCATTAAGGGTAAAAAGGTAAATTAAATAGAAAATAATAAAATAAAAATAAAATCTATTTAATTCATCTAGAATTTCCGATATCGCGATCTTCCCTTCCCCGATATGGGATTCTCTTCTGCCTCCACCTCTCTTTTCTTTTTCGTCCAGACTCGGCGCAGGTTCGGCAACTCACGTCGCGTCGTTTCATGATATACTGGCCAGATTTTCCACGTCAGAGCTCCATCGCTGCCGCCGACTTTTACAAGGGGTGGAAACAGGACAACGGAGTGGAATCCGAATCGCCGGAGACAACGGAGGAGATTTCATTTTCTCCGATTTGCCTTTCATGTTCCTCACGAGGCCGCCGCCGTTCTCTCCGCTTCGTCAATCCACCGTGGAATGTAGCATCTTCCGGAAGGAGTGTTGGAATAAAATTCCTGCTTTGTTTGTTGATTATCAACTTAGAAGAATGCCCAATTTACCTCTAACTTTTGGCAGTATTGTTCTGCCAATTCTTGAGGGCAATGTGCAGATTGAAAGCTTTTGGAACAATAATGCACACAAGAAATAATCCAGACCACAAACACAATAATGCATACAACAAATCCTCTAAAACAAACCAAAAGCGTCACAAAACAAACCGCAAATATTTTAAAAGCACACCAGAAACCTCCTAATTCAGACCACACACACGGTAAAACAATTCACAAAAAAGCGTACCAGAAACCTCCCAACCCATACCACAAATCCCCTAAAACAAACCAGAAACCCCACAAAGCATACCACAAATATTCCGAAAGTGCACCAGAAACCTCATCATGCAACTACAAACACGGTAAAGCAAACCACAAACCTCCTAATGCATACCACAAATATATTAAAACAAAGGGATTATACTACTAGGAAACCCGAACTATTAAGAATATGTCATTTGTGACTTAAAGTATCTAATATGACATTTATGTCATAAACTATTTTTCTGTTAGAGTTGATCGGCGTTGACCGTTAGTTTTTAATAGAAAATTTAATTGGCACTGATGTGGGATATGAAGTGGAATTTATAATTATTTTTCATATAAAAAATTACAAAAATTAAAAAAAAAAACACAGATGCCCGAATGCTTGCCGCCGCTCCCCTCTCCAAAACAGATCCGTCGCCCACTCCCCCTCTCTAAAACAGATCCGCCGATCCCCCTCTCCAAAACAGAGTCGTCCCTTATCTCTGGCATCTCTCAGAAGACATTTACATATCCGTCCTCCATCTACGGCATCTCTGGAAAAACATATTCGTCCCCCATCTCCGGAACCAGGCCTTCTTCTTCCCGTAATCAAGAACGCTGTAAAAGAGCTTGTCGATCGGGACACGGAACCGGCGGAGGTGGAAATCCAGATGTGGTGGAATTATCCCTCTCATCAATTGCGGAAAATTAGCCCAACCCCTTGTCTTAGTAAATTATCCCTTCTCTTTTTTTATTGGCGCCTCTTGCCTCACCCCTCTCCAAAACTAGAGTGACGCTTCTATCTCCAGTTGCTTCCTCTTCCTTTCCTTCTGATGCAGGCGCTGGCAGTAGGTTCTCCACGGTAGTGACAAGCAAAGTGTTGACAGTACCGGCCCCCAAATTGTTCATAGGTGCAGTGAAGAATCAATCTGACCCCCCAAATTTCCGCGAATTCTGATTTCGCCGCCGCCATGGTCGAGGACGGTGACAATGGCTGCGGAACCCTATTTGGCGATTATTGGGGAAATGGGGGTTTAGGAGAGGGAGATAAGGGAAGGGCATTTTATTTTCTTAATTATTTTATAATTTTTATTGTTTTAAATTAAAAATATGATTTGTCAATGACGTGGCATCTACGTGGCTGCCACGTCAACAAAAGTCAATGTTAAAGTTGACTTACGTCTGGTCAACCGTCATCTATAACGGTCTACGAAATCGTCAGGACATAAATGACACACAACTATCATATAATGTCATATTAGATATTTTAGGACACAAATGACACCTTCTTGATAGTTCTGGTTTTCTAGTGGTATTCAAAACAAACCAGAAACCTCGAAAAGCAAACCAATTTTTTTTTTGAAAGCACACCAAAAACTTCTTAATGCAAACCAGAAACACGATAAACCAAACCACAAAAAACATACAAAAAACACAAGAAACCAAACCATAAATCTCATAATGCATACCATAACATCCGGTGATTGTTCACCGTTGACCGGTCAATGAAAACCGTTGACCGAACTCCGATGACCGTCAGTGACCGGATTGCAGCGCCGATAGGCATATTCAAGCCCCGGTGAGTATATTCTGACGCCGCTAAGCATATTTCAATCATGGTGATCGGATTCCGGCGACGGTGGCCATATTCCGGCGACGGTGGGTTTATTCTGGCGACAAAATAGCATATTCCAGTGACCGGCGCTCGGATTCCGGCGAACAAAATTTTGGGCAGAAAATATATAAAAAAAAATTTATTTTTATTTTTATTCAAAAATAATTTTCATATTGACAATTATACCCATGCTTTAATTTTACACTAGGTCAATTTGGCTTATAAAAAGTCATCACATCTCTAGCTTCCTATTGGTTGAAGACTAGTGTTGTTACCCTAACAACACAAAGGGTGTTGTCATAGATACTATACTATTTGACAACCCTTAGTGATTTTGGTCTATCGTTGAATACCCTTAATAAAGTTTCTGGGTCCGCCATTGATTCCATGCACAACAGCACCAAGCGGTAGTGTTTCCGCCGATCAATCAACCGGCCTTCTCTTTTGCGCGACGCCAACAAGTCGGAAGATGTCGGTCTTGCGTTGCCGCCATCTCGACTCCTCTCCAGCAGCGACAAGATAGTAGCAGTGACGGGAAGAACCAAAAGCAGCCGGTGACTGAAATAAACAGCAGAAACGTCAGCCTGGTCCCCTGGCTCTCTCTCTCTCTCTCTCTCTCTCTCTCTCTCTCTCTCTCTCCCGCTCATCATCTCTCCAGGAAGCAAACGCCGGCCAAAATAGTCGACACTGTCGATCGTCCTACAGCTCATCGGCGGCACCGGCGTAGTCGACTTCAACCATTCTTCGAGTGGTTGGTATCACTGCGGAGAGGATGAACCCATGGATATACCAGTCTCGACGGAATCGAATTTCGACGTCGGAAGAGGGAGAAACGAGCCGGAAGTTGGAGTAGAAATATGTCAGGTTTAGGTACCATTCTTGGCAATTCAAAAGTTCGTGGATTACGCTTGTAATTTTCCAGAGAGAGGACGTAATCAACTCGCTGACTTGAAAATTACTAATTTGGTACTTAATACTTTGGAAACTGACAGAATGTTTGTTTTGATCATAACTCGGTGATTTGACGTTCAATCGAGGAGCCGTCGGCGCCTATGGAATCGTGGAAGCGAGGAGATTATTTTGGCAGCAAGTTTGGAAAATTTTGATCAGAATCAGAGTCGTTTTCGACGGATATGAGGTAAGTGTAAAGGGGGTAAAATCTCTGTCGAGGTCTTTTAGTTTACGTCTTTTAATTCAGTTATGTTGGTTATTTTTCAAATAAGCGCGATTATGTGTGTGAGGCATCCCACCACCTACCTAAGGTGGAGGCACGCGTTGTGCTATGTATGTGTATGTGTGTGTTGATGTATGGTTATTGGTATGATGAACCCCCGGGCGGTTGGGCCACTACTGGACGCGGTAGATGGTCGGGTCACTACTGGACGGCGATACGTAACGCAGTAGTAGACCGGGCATGGACTGGATGGCGATACGTAACGCAGTACCGTTTCCTTGAGGATAGGGACACCAGACGACGATAAGTAACACGGTGATTCCCTAGTGCTATTTGATTAAGTCAGGATAGGAGTAAATCACTTCTATAAGATAAAATTAGTAGTAAGGATATTCTATAATCTATGGAGTAATAAAGTTGAGGGATGAGAGCGAGAACGACTTTCGTCTAAGAAAGGAAACCCGCTTATAATGTGCTTAGTAAGGGTTTGCTTATGCAAAGACCTTAGGAAGTAACGACGAGACTGACCCCTTCTCACTCACCAGGTTGAGGAAGCGTTAGCCGAGGTGGATCCCGAGAAGGAGCAAGACGAGGCGAGCAGCCGTACCAACTTTGATGAGAAGTCAAGGAGCTCGTGAGGAGTTAGAGTTAGAATAGCTTAATTACTTTGTTGCATGGTTTAGAGTATAAGCTGGAGATTCTGTGTTAAGTCGTTTTAAGATGTTGCATATGTTTTTTTTTTCGCATAATTTTTCGAGATCTTGCAAAACGCAAACTTCCGAAGGCGGTTTGGTCTCGCTATTGTCCGAAAAAATGTCGTTTGCTACTCCGAACGAGCTTTTTCCGATTTCGTCAAACTTTGGACAGCCATAACATTATGCTCCAAAATCCGAACGATATGAATTTTTTTTTCATTTCGCATAACTTTTTCGGGGTTGAATTGTAATTTTGCACAAAAAATTTAAACGATAATACTTTTGGATTTTTTCCGACTATCCTCGAGATAGTAAGTGGTGCCGTGGTGGACCATATTTTGGAGTGCATTACCCCTTAGTATTAGGAGTGGAATTTAGGATGTGTGTGGTTACCAGCCCCACATTTTGCGTGTAACCACATCCACAAATATAGAATTATGCTACCTGCTGGGGTTGGTGCGGGTTGGTTGTGGATACTTACAAAAATTTCACAATAAATATAATAAATTGTAATTAAATAGTGCTGTTGTATTTTTCCTCACACAAAAACAAAAATATACATAAAAGAAAGTTAATAAAGTGTAAAATAAATTATAAATCTCGAATACAATAGGTTAGTTAGTGTAAATTCAGAAGTGATGGATTTGGAAAGAGATTTGAAATAACGGATAGACGGAGTGATGTGTTACCAGACTAAAATCGTTGCATGTCACGACTCCTCTGATGGCACAACAGCAAAACACAAAAGTGACTCGATAAGTGGAGGCGCCCGTATCTCGTAGATGTGGATATTGGGTTGGGGGTGGGTAGCAAAATATTGATTTTTGTGTGAGGTGTCCACATCTACGCAGTATCCACAAAATGTGCGGTTTGGTGCGGTTCTCGGTAACTCGCAACCCGCAAACCAAACTTCCACCCCTACTTAGTATATTAGCTCTCAGCACTTCCCGAGGTCGAGTTCCATATTATATAACATAAATAGCGCCTAATTTTTTAAGGGGTTTAGTCGGATACGGACGCGTCCACGCTAGGTTTATGTGCACATCTTTCCACAATTACACACTGTTATTCCACTCCGTCGTTTCCTTCATTCCTTCATGCAAGATCGATTGCCCCTTTTTCCCCACCCATTCCTTCTCCACGTAGTTTCCCGTCCATCCTCCCTTGTTTTCCCACCGATTGCTTTTCTGATTATTTCGACGTTTCCATATCATCAAATTGGGCAGAGAATCAAAGACAAGAAAAAGTAAGTGATTGAAAATCCCACCGAAAGATGTGAATCGAGAACAAAGTAGCAATCAGAGAAGAGATGGCACTCAGATGGAAGAAACCGACGGCCGTCGTAGGCTTCCATTCCATGCCAGTTACTAAAAAAGTTTCCTTCACTAATCGTTACCGTTCCTTCTAAGCCGCATGAACCCGCACACTATATAGCGGATTGACATGAGAGAATTAAGGTCGACGCCGACATCGGATTCCGGTGCATTTTTTACTCCCGTCTTTCACCACTTTGCGGATTTATTAAACCTGCCTCTATCCATCTATAATCTATTTGATAGTTGGAGAAACATTATTATTTAGCTGTTTCCCCCAAGCTCTAATTAGTACTGTGGATCGACTCCCTTTCCCATTTGCATGAGTTCCACGTAGCATCGAGGGTATGCCACCTATCCTCCACTGACATGATGTACAATAATTAGTTTTCTCACATTGATTTCGGATTTCATTGTTTCGCTTAAGGAAATGGTTTGGTGGCGTCTAAATGCCACATCATCTAATGCATTCATTTTTGCTGAACTCAAAACTAGTAAATTAGTAAATTAAAATAATGGACATATCATCTAATGCATTCATTCTAAACTAGTAAATTATTAAACCTGCCTCTATGCCACATCATCTAATGCATTCATTCTTGCTGAAGGAGAAGGAAGTTTCACCATCGAGTGGGTTTTAAACTAGTAAATTAAAATAATGGACACTTTAATCGTTTGATACTGTTAGCGATATAATTAGCCTCCAAAGCATGTCATGTCGAACTCAAAACTGTGGTTAAATATTCTGGTTTATTGTGGTCCGCTCATTATTTTGTTTTAATGCTAACTAGGTTTGGAATTGTAAAGTAATCTTATAAGTGGACGATATATTCCGGTTTTATTCCGGTATTACTCCGAAACGGTATACACAATCTGCCGGTACGGTTTTTTAACAAAAAAATACTTTTTAATTATAAAAACGATATTTTACCGGTACACAACGATTGAACCACGATCGTACCACAAAATACCATACCACGGACGGATCCGGTATGACTTCCGGTACGGTTTCCTTTACCATGCTATTTACGCTCCAAATTGGGGTGCAAGTCTGAATAGTAACTTTGCCCACCTTTTGCACTCACCTGCCACTGTATCAAATTATCCGAACAAGGGTATTTGTCTCGATTTTGCCACTTACTCCCAGCTTCTTACCCCCCCACCCCCCTTCTTCCCACTTCCCCATCTTTCCAAACAGAGTGTAAAGCAACAATGCTTTAGTACAACTTCAGTTTGTTCGTTGTTTAAGTTTAAAGGTCATTACATATAAAAGCTTATCATTAACTTCGGTTTAAGTTTAACGACCAACAATGTTTGATTTCATTATTATTGATTTTGTAATGTGTGTCCAGAAGTTTGAAAAAATTATTTTTCAAAAATTATATTCGTATTCCAAAAGTTAATGATTCTTCAAACTTTTATTTCCTCTAATAACATTCACCTTCATTTAAAACAAAACTGTTCTTTATTTATAATTAGCATTTACATTTTAGATAAACCGCTGCGGAGCGCGGGCCAATTATCTAGTATAATATGAAAGTCAAACAATGTGAACGAAAGAAAAAAGTGGGAAGAAAATCCATCCAATACCAATTATACAATCACAGTCGTTGACCTTGATACTCAATAATGGTTATCTCCTGCAACCAGTAGTCGACATGAAATCTTTGATCAATGGACGTTCTCTAACCTGTGAATTGTGATACCGCATCTCATCGATGTTCACCATCTACCGAAAATGGTACTTCCACCATTCATCCTTCTTCTTCGGCTCATCGTATTCCACTTCTGGATTTCCTCATCCTCCGTCGCTTCCCTCACATTCCAGAAACCAACCTTCGATCCAAACGACGCCACAATAACCTGCGAGGGAGGCGCCGCGGCCGCTTCCGGCGTCCTCAAACTGACCAACGCCCACCACAAAAACGAAGTCAGCCGGGTAACCTACGCCGACAAAATCCCACTCTGGGATTCCGCCACCGGAAACCTTTCCGACTTCCGCACCCGCTTCTCCTTCTCCATCGCCGCCAAACCCGGCACACAGCAGCTCCCCTGCGGAATCTCCTTCTTCCTCGCCCCCTTCGGCTTCCCCGTCCCTACCAACTCCGCCGGCGGCTACATGGGTCTCTACAACTTCACCTACCGGACCTATTCCCCGGCGAACAAAGTCGTCAATGTCGAATTCGACTCCTTCGTGAATGCAGTTTGGGATCCTCCGTTCCGCCACGTTGGGATCAACAACAACTCTATTTCCTCCGCGGTATTTGCTCCCTGGGAGGTCGATTCGCTCTCTGCGAACCCAATCGTCGTGGAAATCAACTACACGGCCAGCACCCACAATCTCTCTGTGTCTTGGAATTACGCCTCTGTTCTAGACCAGAGTTCGAGCCTCTCCTACGGAATCGATCTGCGGGAAGTTCTGCCGGAATGGGTCGCCGTTGGGTTTACTGCTACCACAAATCAATTCCCAGGGGATCAGGAGCTTTTGTGGTGGGATTTCAGCTCCACTCTGGAAATCAACGAAAAGGATGGGGCAAATGTCGAAAGGAAAGTGCTTCTGGTTCTTCTTGCTGTGCCATTAGGGTTTGCCGTAGCAGCAAAAGTGATTGCGGACGGAGTCGGTCGGAGCCGGAAGAAGAAGGAAACGATTGAAGGAGTGAGTTTGTTATCCATCAATGTCGAATTCTCCAAAGGCGCAGGTCCCAGGTGGGTTCCCTACAACGATCTCGTCTCGGCCACGAACAACTTCTCAATCGACAGGAAATTGGGGGAAGGAGGGTTTGGAGGGGTTTACCGAGGGTTTCTCAAGGATCTGGATATCCCAGTTGCCGTGAAGAAATTCTCCAGGCGTTCTGCACAAGGGATCCAGGAGTACATAACTGAAGTGAAGGTGATCAGCAGGTTAAGGCACAGAAATCTGGTGAAACTCATAGGCTGGTGCCACGAGAGAGGCGAATTCTTGCTTGTTTACGAGTTTATGCCAGAGGGCAGTCTCGATTCACACCTCTTTGCAAACTGTATCAGCACCGGGAGCCATCCTCTTCGATGGCCCGAAAGGTACAGAGTAGCTCTGGGCTTGGCTTCTGCTTTGCTCTACCTTCATGAAGAATGGGAGCAATGCGTGGTTCACCGCGACATCAAAGCAGCTAATGTTATGCTCGATTCCGGATTCAACGTCAAGCTTGGGGATTTCGGGCTGGCTCGACTGGTTGATCATGAGCTGGGACCTCAAACGACGAGGCTAGCTGGAACCATTGGGTACATGTCTCCGGAGTATATCAGCAATGGAAGAGCTAGCAAGGAATCGGATGTGTATAGCTTTGGGGTGGTGTGTTTGGAGATTGCCACGGGAAGGAGAGTTGTCGATTACATCGAGGACGGCCTGGAGATGGGTTTGGTTGAATGGGTTTGGGAACTGTATGGGAATGGGAATCACAGTGTCACCATTGACGGGAGGCTCGTGGAATTCGACGAAAGAGAAGTGGAATGCTTGATGGTGGTGGGTTTGTGGTGTGCTCATCCTGATTCATCCCAGAGAGCGTCGATCAGACAGGCGATTCAGGTTCTCAACTTCGAAGCACCGTTTCCAAGTCTTCCAGAGAAGAGGCCGTTCCCAGTGTTTCATGTGCATACGGCCTCGTCAAGTAGTGAAGAGTCTGACCAACCTTTGTTATCATATTCGACTATTGAATTGGATAGCAGGTGATGATTGAAGGCAACTGTCATATATGTCTCCAAGTTACTCGGGTTACACTTCTAGAAATCATCAAATCATCCTTATTTATCTCATTTCCTATCGATTTAAATTGATACAAAATAAAACAATTCAAATTACCTTCTTCTAATTGCTACATCTCAATTTTGTGTTGTCAAACGAGACAATTTAATCAAATTGATTCATTTTGAAACAATTGAGTCAAATTGCTTCATACAATTTCCTCGCTAATAATCTTGGAGCATGTTTGCGATTCCGAAAAACACTGAATAACACTAGGGTTCTCACAACAACGATGACATGGAAACCCCATGGCTAGGCGTTGGCGGAAAACCTTAAATCTCTTGCTAATCATGCATGATTGGACCAAACAATCATGAGATAAGATTGAGCTTGATTACCTGTTTCAGTTCACTATTTTTGGATACGTTAATAAGTTTGTAAGGCTGTGACAAGTACGTGACTGAAGTTGAACATGGTTATGCAATATGTAGAGTATTGCAATCTAAGTAATAAATTTCTTAGGTATGTCTAGGGACGACTGGTCATATTTCACAGAGCTTTTGATAATAACTACTCAAAGCTACCAATATATGTTCAAATGGTAATTCAAGGAAAATAAGTACAATGGGTTGAGGTTTCCTATTAGATGGTTGGCACTACTAACTACGCTCAACACAAAACTAAAAAAACAGAAGAAAGCAAAATAAATGACATTTGTTAAGGATGTGTCATCTAGATGATAATGCACGCATTGATCTATTGTGATCCATATCCTTCAACCAAAGGTATGTTATTCGAGTTTTCACCACGTGCAATAAGAACTATGAGCTAATGTATGTTCTCGTTTCATGTCACTAGACTAACCAATCAAACAATGAAGTATGAATAACTCATTGTTATTTAGGCCTCTGCAAGCCTAACTCACTAAAACTACTACTCCAATAAATTTTCAAGTGCAACAAAAGATCGAAAAATAGTATAAATAGAAGTGCAGTTTTAATTGTCAACCCAGGGTCGCTAAGTTTACTATTACGCAATGAATTACCTATTATCTAGCAAACAGATTGTAATGATTACTAGAACTAATGAAACATATCAAGTAGTTTGGTTCGAATTCATATTTGAGAAAGCCACCCGAGTATGTTTCCCCTCAGTCCTTAGTTAGGCTTATGTTGTTTACTCCCTAGTTCATTTCACTCGCTACTTTTACTAAGGAGAGGCCGAAATTCATATGAAATCTCAACTAAAGTATACCAAATCCTCTTGAATAGACTATCCGGAAGGAGATTATCCTTAGTCGGAATAGAATACCAAGGAAATAAAACAAAGACTCTTACTAGTAGATTGAAACCCAATACAAAAGCAGTGAACCAATTCACTATTCATGCAATCGATCCACATCCAACCAGTTGAAGATACTCTATCAACCTAATGAGGTATTCCCTCTCGTAGGTTGAAGCAATAATTGAAGGAGTGCGATCAAGATTCAAAACAATCATGAGTACAACCTCAATTGGATATATAATATCGAGTTTAACAAACCAAATATCAAACAACAATCATTCCTAACATACAAAACAAAGGTGCTTCGTACCCAAGTGAGAGAAAATATTACTCCATATATATAGAGAGAGAGAGAAACATGGGAAGAAGCAATCATCATCGTATACACGTCGGGAATTTGCTTCTTAATGAAATTCTTCACTCCAAGGGACTGAAATTGAGCTCCAATGGTGAAAGGAAGACCCAAAATTGCTCCAAGCTAAGGAAGTTCTCTTAATCACTTTCTCTCTCTAGGACCCTCTAAGCTCATTTTTATAGGTCAAATTCGGATCCCCTTCAAAAAACTCGAGAATGACTGCAGCTGGCAAAATCACGAGCAAGAAACATGAGCTTGTTTCTTCTTTCCGCCCGTGTTTCTCCAAAACTCATCGCCACTTAAGTTGTCTCTAGGAAAACACAACCGACCTTCTTCAATTTGCACGGTCATGTTTCTTAGACTTTGACCATGTTTCTTCTTTGAAGCTACGGTGCACATTACACAAACCAAAAGAGCTGAAACCCGACCAATGTTTTTTTGCTGCCCACGCTGGTTTTTTTTTCAACGAAAGAACGGTTTGCTGCCTCCAGAAACACGGTCTTGTTTCTCCAAAGCATGTTCCTGTTTCTTCCTCTGGTTCAATCCTAAGTCACCAAATGATCTCCAAATGGCCAGAAACTTACACTTAAACCTTTCTTCACTTGCTAGGACTTGAAATACACCAAATGAACACAACCTTGAGTCAAAATGCCTAGGAGAGAGCAAATCAAAGCCAACCGATCAAGAAATGAGGGTGAAAACATATAATATTTATCACTTGTAAGAGCCATAGTATTGGTCTATGCTATCGATGATCTAGTATATCAAGCATCTATCTCATTCATACATAAAAGGGTGTACCTACCCTATATACATGCCTAAAAGAGATTCTTACAACATAAGTTGGGTTTTCCATGCAACATATGATAGTAATAAAAACTATGACCATAGTAACATATAATAGATGATAAGAGCATAAGATTATTAAAGCATTAGATAATCAAAAGCATACGATGATGCAAACATTGAATGAAAGAGCATCTAATGGTCATAGCATGTCATTAAATCATAGAACATAAATGCATGAACCATCGAAGAATTCAAATCCCTAAACAATACTGACTAGCATGTCATAAGAGAAATAGAAGACATCACCATAGATGATGAAGCCATCGATGATGAAGGCATCCTCTCCAAACTCCTGCACAACTTCGTCTCCTCTTATGGATTGCTAACTCGTGACCTCTACAACAGAGTGAGTGTGTGAATTTTTTCTAAAATCTAGATCTTGAGCTTCTATTTATAGTACATAAGGGGAGAGGTTTTCTAGGAGTTCTCCTCCTAAAGGTCGGCCAAAAGAGTCCTTGTACTACTAGGATGTGGATTTCTTGGTTTGGGGCAAAAGTAAGCATCTTCTAGAAGCTTTCTTAGCGGCGGTCATGTGGACCAAGTGACCTTTCCTCCAAATTTGAGCACTACTTGTTGGGTTTGAACCCACTTTGGCCTTAGTCAATGGTAAGCCTTCTTCATTACCGAATCTACTTCTCTAGGCCATAAAGTGACCATCCGATATTCAAATCCATCTCTGTTTGAGCCCAAGAGCTTGTATGTTTTTCCTCATGATCCATTTATGATCCATATACGTCTTGAGTGTATTATAACCTTGAAATGCACAAAACAATACAACAAGGGGTAAAATGTACAAAACAACATTCAATTTCGATCTTTGGCACACTGATCAAATAATATTGATATTTATATTAAACATAAAACTATATACTAAATATGCATTGATAGAAGGGGAAAATTTATAAAATATGGGAGTGATAAAACCTATAATTTGAGTCTCATCAGAAATACCCAGCAGTTGAAATCTGATTGTACCCAAGCAAACACTACTCACAATTATACAACTCCCTGAAAAACTAAAGCTGACATCAAACAACTATCTTAGGTAGTGGAACATAAGTGAACTTACAAGCTCAATAATTACACGAAAGATGACTCTAATCATATTATCATGCATGAAAAACAAGGTACTTATCTCAATCATAAACCACCAACCATACATGAGTATCAAAACACATAGGGTGAAACATTTGGAAAACAAATAGGAACTTGAAATACTTCTACCATCTTTTTGACATTCCCTTTAGCACTTTAGCCTTTTGACAAACACATATTTTATCAATGAAATCAAGTGTTAAAAGGAATGTAAAAAAATGTATATCTGCTATCGTCAAGTCTGTATTAGTCGGAAGCTTTATAAAGAAAACACATCATCAAGTTGATAATCTATTAACCGGGTGGGAATTTACTTATAATAGAAAGGAATTAGCACCAAATAGGGACTCTGAACTCAACTAGTATCTCTTCTAAACCTCAAATTTGTGCAATGAATGGGTGCCTGACACGTTGAGCTTACCCCTCACTTTATTTTGAAACCTAACATGCCAAATTTGATAAGGTACCAACACATGAAAAAAGCTTTTGAAAAGTGGAGACTCAATGCATAATTAGAAATCTAAAACGAAGCAAATTTCATGGCATTTACAACACATGAATATGAAAAAAGCATCTCATTGACTATCACATCATTCAAAATAAGTTGAGAGTTGAACATGCTTGTAGAGGATGACTAAACAAGTCAATAGTGGAAATCATCTTTAGTAATTCTCAAAAAAAATTCACATGCATGCCATAACTACTATATTGAATCAAATTTTCTAAATTGAACGATTAAACATATAGCAATCAATAAGCATAATGAATTAAAGCATCACAACACACTTCCATCCCACACTTTAAACAGTTAATTGTCCTAAATGGACTAAAAGATAAGTGAGCCATGGCAAAGAGTTGGAACGGTTTACCTCATTTTTCTAGGAAAATATGAATCGTCCGATCTGGGAAATGAATGGTCTCCCGAACATCAATGTGTATTGGGTTTCGAATTTCATGTTGATTACCACATAGTCCAGGAAAAATATGAATGATCTTATATGGGTACTCAATCCTCGTACTACTCCAAAAGCTTGGCTTGAGGTGTTATCATCCAACTTGATCTCCATCAAGGGTATGCCATCGTCCTTTTCCTTATGCATGGTGTGAGATATTGTCAATGCTGGAGAAGGCATCGATGGTTTCTCGAGAGTGATCTTCTCTCCTAGGGTGGCTGACTCGCTTTGGCTATCACAATAAAATCCCACCTAAGGCCCAAGTATAAACTTTAGATGTATGCAATATAGGGCAAGTATGTTTAACTATCAACCCGGGCCGGCCCATGTACTGATACTTCGATTGTTTGAAACATTATCTAGTGGATAGTTTTGGTGAAAACATGTCATAAACCAGTTGATCCCAATAACTCGAGTTGTTGGGAGAAGGTTATGTTGGATCTTATACAGGCCCATTATGGTACTTAACCACTTCTGTACATGCCCCCTCACATGAAAGTTGACTCA